GCATTTCCTCTAGCTCTTATTCTCTCCCCAACGAGGGAGCTCTCATGCCAAGTAAGTTTTTCTGGTTTTTGGTCTATTTAGTCGAAGAAGAGAGGGAAAAATGAAGTTGCTCTCCGTACATTGATATATGGTTTATTTTGCAAAATCTGCAGATTCATGATGAAGCTAAAAAATTTTCATATCAAACTGGCGTCAGGGTGGTTGTTGCCTATGGTGGTGCTCCTATAAACCAACAGGTCCTATATTTTCTCTTGTTTGCTTGGTACTTCAGTTTTAATTTCTTATGTTTTGCTGGAACCTATTGGTTCTTTTTGGATTTGTACTATTAGTTGCGGGGTTTTCTTCCATATGCAACGTTAGTTTCTGTCGTAATATTTGAGTAATTAATTAGAATTGCACAAGTATACTGTGATATGATATCTGTGTTTAGGCTGCATTTACTTTGTCCCTTACTAGAGCTTTCAGTTTACTGTTGATGCTGCACTTTCTGGAGTGTATATTCCTGTGGTACTATCTCTAGCAAAGTTATTGTCCCTGGCATGCATAAATATTGGACAAAACCACTACGAATATGATTTTTTCTGAGGTTTCGATATTTGCATTCCTTGTGCTACCAGAGGGATTCATGTTCTGAGGTAGGTTGTTGGTCACGTTCAAACTGGAACTTGCCTACACTTTCACTTTTTATAACCTTCTTTCTTTAGTGAATACATTTTTTTTAAACAATGCAGACCTTGAGAGACTTTCCGAGTCTCAAAAAGAAATTATACACGTGAAATTGGCATTCATTTCACTGAACTTTGACGCACATGAAGAGATTGTTTGTACCTGTCTAGTTTATATTGCTAATGCAATGGTGGCAATAACTGAAAACTTTGTAGAGATTTTGAATATGCATTGATTAATTGTTGCAAAGTTTCATAGGTGCATTTAATGATAGTGAGAGTTTTGAGTAATTTGTGAAATAGAGACTGATGCTGGATCCTCATTTCATGGTGGAAATATAGAGAGCTTTCCTTTTCTACCGCTTTGCTGGCACTCTTATTATATGATAACCTTGAAGCTTGAGAGATTGATTTGTTACATCCTTTAATGTGTACAAGTGTTTTCTGCTTTGGTACATAGGTCGACTGCATTGCTATCGAGCCTTAAATTTTGTCCTCTCTGAATAGTAGATATCTTAAATCATTGAAAGCTGATAAGTTTCTAATAGTTGTTCTCGTGCTCTGACACTGTTAATAGCTTCGAGAATTAGAGAGAGGTGTGCATATTCTTGTGGCAACCCCTGGGCGGTTAGTTGATTTACTTGAGAGAGCAAGAGTCTCGTTGCAGATGATAAGGTATTTGGCTCTAGACGAGGCAGATCGAATGCTTGATATGGGTTTTGAACCTCAAATAAGGAAAATAGTGCAACAGATGGACATGCCTCCGCCAGGTGTGCGACAGACCATGCTGTTCAGTGCCACTTTCCCAAAAGAGATTCAGGTCATTTTTCTACATGGAAAGACTCTTTTTTGATCCACTATTTTTGTTTCTTTGATATCAATTTACTTTAAAGCTCCCTTATCCTGTGGACTTTGCTGCGTCAGACTGCAAACTGGTTATCACAATTTGTGGCTACCATCGGAAGTTATAACAATTTTCTTGAGCTGCTTGCTGTTCTACAGTTGAATGGAGCTTCTCTTTTTCTCTACCTTTTTGCCTATGTGTTACTCTATGAGAGCATAGGGAAAATTCCTTGATAATGATTGTCGCAAAATTAATACACTTAAACTTTATCTGAATGCAGAGACTAGCCTCAGATTTTCTATCCAGTTATATCTTTTTGGCTGTGGGAAGGGTCGGCTCTAGCACAGATTTGATT